CCCCCCCCCGCCCGCCCCCTCCCTCCCCTGTTGTCCGAAAGAAAGTCATTGCGACGAACCTCATGAAGGACGTACAGCCGTGCTGGGACGGAGAGAGGCTGAGCAGCAACGGCTCCAACACCCCCGCGCCCAGCACGAGGTCTCGCATCTCAACGCCGTCCGCTGCAATGTTCCCAAGGCACCACGCACTCTAAAGCGGAACGGAGGTGGGGACAAGGGCGGCGGGAGAGACCAAAGCGCATCAGAGATGACGCAAAACGACATTGTCCTCTTTGGGTGGGGATAAGGGCGGCGGGAGAGAGCAAAGGGCATCAGAGATGACGCAACCACAACAAGAGGATGCTCCTGGGAACAACGTGCTACGAAGGCGGCAGGCAACACGAAAACATAAAATCTTGTGCAAAAAATCTTCGTCTCCAAGCAACAGGGGTGCTGGTTCATAATTCTGCAAAAAAATTGTTGGCAATCACCTGCCGGGTATTGCAGTCGTCGCGACAGTGCGCAACAAAGAGGTGTAGGGGTCGATTGCACCCACCTGTTCTCGGAGATACAGGTCGGAGCTCGAGAGCAAGTCTACCAGAGCGGGTAGGGTGGCCGACTCCATCGCCACGGCCCTAGTGCACTCCGTCGACGCGATGTTAGTCAGGGCGCACAGGGCCTCCGGGCGGAGCTCCGCACAGTCTGCCGCACAAACGTGCAGGGAATCCACACACTCCCGAGTATTGGCAATGCAATAGTACACATTTTCTTCTATAAATCCGTTGTGTTTCTGGAAAAAAACGAAAAAAAAAACACGCATGCTGGCGAACGGTTCGGTTTTGCACCTGTCTGCCGGAGAAACTCGACGAGCTTAGGCACGAGACCGGCTCGGACAGCCTCTTCCGCGGGTGGGGTCTCCGACAAGCTCAGCGCCACACGAAGCCAGCGCAAAGACCTGCGACAGTGGTGTGGGGGCAGGGGGGCGCGTTCATGCTTTGCATGCCTTAGAAGTTTGACCACGTGCCCTCGGAAGCAATGTTCCTACGGGAGGACCGATGACCAGTCGTTCCTTCCTGCCTTGCCAAAGATGGCGCGGTACTAAGGGAGACGATATACAGGTCGTGAGTAGGGTGTGCACGCGAGTCGGTGTGGCCGCCTGGGTCTTGGCACCTACTACGCATGGGTTTGTTCGGATACATGCGTTAGTGTCGGCGCAATCATCTCGAGAAACGCCTACCGTACTTTGAGCAAGCCTCAACGCCTGGCTACACGTCTCAACGACTACAGACTACATCGTGAAGGCACCTTCAGGATATAATACAGGGGCTCGTGCTAATTTGTCGTGTGGATATGGGCAATCCCGAACGCAGTTGAAGGCAACACGCGGAGATATCGACGGATGAGCTCAATTTTCCGACTCCATTTTCTATTTTCTTCACACGCATATATACACAGCAATTGCAGCATTGGCTGAAGTGGGTCCTTCCTTCGGTAGGTGACCCCTTGGGAACCTTCTGGTCGGACGTGGGTTCGAATTCGGTGCAGTCACAACACGGAGGTTTGAATTTCATTTTTTTATCTCACATTATCCCCGAACAGAAGTAGGGATCGCGATAACTTTGTGTGTTTACCCCGAAATATCCGACTTTACGGTGGCCGAGAAGGCACCGGAGGAGCGGCTCAATCCTTGCCGTGATAGATGTCAAAGCAAGCACCGCTGACGGACAGCTGAGGAAACATGTCCTGCGTGCGACCCCGGCTAGCGTGCGTCCAGCACTGTACCGTAAGGTGAAAGGACTGACGTCCAGACCAGCTGGGATGACAAACAACAAAACAACACAGGTTGTGCCCTGCCAACGTTTTGAAATTCATCGCTACTTCAATCATACGGATAGAGATGGATTTTTTGTTGTGCAAAAATAAGAAGAAAAAAACGAAAACTGTTCTGCACGGAGACAGAATTTTGGGGTGACATCTTGACCCTGGCCAAGATTGGCCCAAGAAATTCAATTATTTTTTATGGCAACAATTTTTCCGTCAGATCTTGGCCAAGATTTGTCAACGGTCAACTTCTGGCCCCACCCTTTCCAGCAAACAAAACCTTTGGGTGCAAAGGTTTTCTCGAGGGAGCAATCGAGCAGCCTTTATAATCTGAGTGGGTGCGGCGATGTTTTTGCAAAGGCCGTGAAGGGTTCTTTCCGTCAACCGTACAATATAACGGTATTGTATTATATCTGCATGTGGCACACTCGAAAAGGTTTCTAACACATCCTAAGTTCATGCACTGCTGCGACGCCACGGGCACTGATTGCCGAGAACACCAATCAAGGTGCGCGAAATACAACTCTTGTCGCTGTGGGAACTACCAGCATGCGTCACCATGCTGTTTTTTCAACAATGGCAAATCATCTTCAACTCCAGAGCGGACAACACCGTTTCTTACTCCGTAGTTGACGCATCGAGGTGAAACCTGCAATGATGATGCCGCCTCCATTAACCATCCCCAGCAGGATGCAGCGCACCCTTCATGCGACTCGCCGAATACCTCACGGCGCTTCGCGCTTGGTGATGTGAGAGCCTGGTCCGGTGAGAACCCGGCGTGCTCCGTCCCGGCTTTGTAAGGATGCGAGGTCAATGGTCTAACGACTACGGCATGCACGACTATGACTACACCCCCCCGCCTCCACTAACCTGGCCTGTTTCTCATGCAAGCGATGTGGTTGCGGGGTGCTTCCATCCAGAGAGAAAAACATCCGATGTTGTTCATCTCTATAGGAAGGGCCGTTCGAAAAGTCAACACTTTCCCTCGTGGCGGACTACTACACATGTTGTAGAGTACAGCAGGCCGATCACGCCCGTCAACCAAACTAGCGATTCGAGAACACCAAATGTAGTCGTGGTTTTGAAACATCTCGTCGAGGGCATTCCTTAGTAGACGCATCCGCGGGCTCCTTCTGCACCCCGTTGGTTGTGGAGTCATCGAGCTTTGATAGTCGGTCTAGGGGACATGCCATCTCTCTACATAGCAAGCCCTGCGTCTACCGGTGGTGCTGCGGCTTCATATCGTAGACTCTTTTTCCGTGGATTTAGAGGTGGAATCGTTTCGTTATGTTGTTGTTGTTGTTTGTCTTCACATTAAACCGTATGTCAGTTGCTAAATGCCAAAATCTAGCAAAAGACTCTCAGCCCGTGGTCACGAAAGTGCTAGAGCCATCTGAGGATCTAAAGAACACGCACAC